GCATCTTCCAGGGCCTTGCAATAGGAAACCTCTGGGAATAGGATCCTTAAGACTTTTTTCTGAACCCTCTCTATTTGGTTGGACAAATAGGCCGGCAAGCTAGAGTGGAAAGCCTGGCATGCATATTCTAAAACGGAACGTATGCATGCACAATAAAATTGAACTAGAGACTTAAGGTCTATACCAGCGTGCTTGAGATATCTTGCTTTGGGGTGTTTTGGAACTACTAAACCAAAGTCACTTGTGATTTAAGATGGATTGTATGCCTGGAGGGGGGGGGGNACTCCTAGGAAAATTGGGTGGGGGTGTACGGCCAGCTTCCCAAAACCCTTACCCTATTTGTGACCAAAATCTACAATTTTCGCTACCCTATTTTTGACCTGACCCTGTTTCAGACCTGCCTCAATTAGTTACCTAGTTCAGGCCGATGTTAATTAAAGGCACTGTGAAGGGCTTTTGTCAAGGTCTTATCAATAAGGATGAAACAGTAGCTTCTTCTTAAGAACATACCCAATTCAAGGCTAGAGTGCAAAAAGCATACCCTATTTATGACCAAAAATGCAAAATTGATACCTAATTTATGACCAAGACAGCTGAGAAACCATACCCTTTGGGGCTGCACATACCTATATAACCCATATGAAGGAGTACCTCCACCCACCCACCCCTTCTCCGGGATTGCATGGACTCCTCTGACTTGTTGATTTTGTTGTTGTTTTTTTTTAGGGTCTTACAGTCCAAGACCTTGATGGTCTTTCTCCTGATGTGTTTTTAATGTCACCACCTTGTCAGCCATTCACAAGGTACACTGTACAAATGATTTGAGTCCTCTGTACAATGTACATTTAGGACCATTCACCCCTTGAATACGTGAACATCACCACCATAGAACTGGAAGCGAGGTGCACAAGTGCCACATGCATTTACATTTGAAGAGTCAGGCATGATAATGCCACTTAAAAACAGCCTTTGATCATGGTAGTTAATTAATAATTAGGTCTAGGCCCAAAGTCGCACTTTCTTTATGGTCAAAAAAGCTCTCCAGTCAGTCGAGGCCTTTATGAAGCCTAGGTTTGCTCTCCAGTGAAAGTCTTTCAAGGATCCTTGAGGATCTTCATGAAAATCTTAACAAGGATCGTAATCAAGATCATTCAAGATCCTGGTTTTAGAGATCCTAAATATCCTGAAGATTAATTTAGTAACCTTCTGGATATTTAGGATCTCTAAAATGCTCTCCAAGGGTCTTCAAAGATCTTGAGCAAGATTCTCATGGATGTGGAAGGATCTTCAATTTTCAATTCTCGCCAGTGCCTTTGAAGATCTTTGAGGATTCAGTTCCAAAGATCTTTACAAGATCTTTCAAAGATATTTTGAAGAAGTTCTTTATCTTAGCTTTCAGGAACTTTTAGTAGTTAGGTCCTTAAGAACTTAGTAATTAATATGAAAATTTTGTGGTATAGTGCACATGCATGAAATAATATTTCAGACTCTATAATCATGAAGTATTTCCATTAATTTTTGTTTCAAAAAGGGTTGGTCTTCAGGGAGCTTCCAAAGACCCAAGAACAAGAAGTTTTCTTCACATTTTGGAACTCCTTCCACAGTACGTAAATAATGTTTGATGAGCGTAATTGTTGAAAATAGGAGCAACAGACCAATGAGTATTTCCAGAGATTTGGTTGACCTAGGAACCATTAAATATCACCATTATTACACGACTAAATTACATGTAGTTCTCAATCACAATTACGTTGACCATGCTTCACGTTTAACGGTCTTTCCAGTCAGTGATTGTTAGATATTTGTCTAAACACTTTCGTGTTGTATGGGAAATCTCTTTTTGATGAAGCTTGCTTAGGACCATATTGGGAGAATATCAGCTCTTGGTCTTCTCTGTATGGTCCACGCTATACTCGGTCCATTCTATAAAAACCTTGGGCCAGTTATCTCCCAACATGTGTTTGTTGGCTATAAATCATGCCTTATGACGCCACATGACGTGATAGCATCTGCCATCTTGGATCTGCCGAGTTTCTCAGGAAGTTAGAAAATGGATGAAAGTATATAAAAAGTAGCTGCTTGACTATATTCTGCAATGCTGCAGTCCTTGGAGAGTGAATGAACAAACAATTTGCCAAACAACCATGTGGTACATGTAGGTGGCATCCACACCCCCTCTCCCCTCCCCCTGTACACCCAAGGGTTACTTTGTACATGCAAACTCTTGTAAGCCAATACTCCCACATGAAGGCTGTACTAAAGGTGTCCGTGTGTGTCCAGTGTAAGGTGTTTCCACCGATCGCGAGCATTGTTATTGTGAAATGATAAGATACATGTAGTCTTTGAAATTTACAGGAAAACAACTGAAGCCTGGTTTAATATGATATTCATGGTCCGTTAGGTTCTCATTCACACATGAACTCTGAGTGGTTACAACTTTATTTAATCTAGTTTGGCTATCATTGCTTTTCTGAAATTTGCTGATAATTTACCCATCAGAGTAAAATTGTATATTTGTGTGACAGGTTGTCAAGATCACCCAACTACATTCTAATGGAAAATGTGAAAGGATTTGAAACTTCAGATACAAGGTAATAAATTAAAATGATATGGACATTACAATTGAGACAGAAGCTATAGCTGACTGTGTTTGATAGAGGGGTTAAGCATTGCACTTTAATACAGAAAATGAGAAAAGGCAGAGATGGTCACAGGACCATTATTTCCCTGCCATTTACTTTGTTCATTTGGAGAACTTTTATTTTAGTAATGTTTGGTAATGGTGGTAGCCAGGGGTGTCAATTTAATTTGAATTCCGACAAAGGGCATATATTTTGTTTGGGAAATGTTTATCTGTCATCAAAAGACCTGTGTACACTATGAGGGTCTAACATAAGTTTGGCAGGATGCAGAATGAGAATAAAAAATAGGGGTGGGATGACAGAAATTTTAAAGGCAGGATGCGGGATAAAAACAGTCAGTTATCAGTGGGATTTGCTCAAATATTTTGTGCGGGGGATGCAGCATAAACATTTGAAAATCACACGTTATAGACGTTATGCGAAGAACTGCCACTCTAACCTGGCGAGATCAGGACAATTATTCTGAGTGGTGTGGGATGGCTGGATTGAGCCAAAAATAGTGGCGGGATGGGGGATTGAAAAAGCCTATGTTAGACCCTCCACTGTGGTTGTAACAACAGAGCTTATCATACACTTTAATACGACTACTGTATAGATCAAAATTAATTCGCTTGTAACTCACACTGCAGATGTCTTGTCCCATTCTAGAGAACAATTTTTACATACGCTGAAGGCTTGCGGCTACAGTTATCAGGTACATTACATAATGATTACACAGTGAAACCTGTGTTAAGCGGACCCCATATTAAGTGGACACCCTTTATTAAGCGGACACCAGCTTGAGTCCCTAAATTTTGTTCCCGCATTTACTGTAAAATATACCTGCATTCAGCGAACACCTCTGTTAAGCAGAGGATACCAATATTAAGCCATTTTGTTGCACAAAACCTGCAATAAGCAGACACTTCAAGAGCATTTCACCTCTAAAGGTTTAGCTAGCTGAGTCTCCAATAATATTGTTCAGCGATGTCGTTTCAAAGCTAAGTGATTATTTCAGATTGACGCATTGACTGACTGGACATTGTGCTATGAGCAGTCTTTGATCTCAAACTGTGGTACACTGTGTTGCAAAAGGGTTTAATAATTTACTATTATTGCACAACATGTTAGAACCTGTTTTGAGCAGACACCCTTTACTAAGCGGACACTAATGAGGGTCGCAAGTGTGTCCGCTTAATACAGATTTCACTGTAATTAATAGAGGCTGAAGGTTAAGAGAGTTTCTAAGGTAATCCATCCCAAGGTATTTTTAAATAACTTCTGCTTTTGGAGATCCCAGGAGGATTCAGAAATAGCCAATCACGTGATGTAGATTCTGCCCTCATGGACGGCCTACGCGGCATTACCAAAGTTTCATCCTCCGCAAAAACATCCACACCTGATCTGCATTTACATCCACGTAATGCGTACGTTGACATTATCTACAGTAAGATCTGGTTACCAAGTTTAAAAATAACTCGAGAGGAATTGCCCAGGGAGTAAGGCCTATACGTTAACTGACTCTTGCCCTTCCTGCTCGCTTTATTACATTGTATAACGTAAGTTACAGAAGGTTAAATGTAATATCTTTGAGTGCTACACTAGTACATGTACAGTACATGTAAATACACTGCTTATATTTACATGAACTTATGCGGCTAATGGTGATTTTACCTTAACATCATTATTTCATACTACATGTTAGGTCCCTTGCTTGTTGATGGTGCGTCGAAGTTTGATTGCTTTGTCTGTTCATTGGCCCATGGCGATTTGCAAATTGACAAACTCGCCTCCTTCACTGTACATGTAGTTAACTTTCCTTTATCATTTGAAGTTGCTAATCAACTGTTAGTTTAAAGAACTACTTGTTTTAATTTAGTTTGTGAAATTTATGCAGCCCCTCCAAAAAAATCCGCCCAGATGATAAAAACGTGTCTTGAATTGCTGAAAAAGGGCAATTCTTAGGAACATATAATCATTTCGAGGGTACTGAAAGTATATTTCGATCATAAGTGGTGTTGATTTAGTCAGGAGGGACTCCTGGATTTAGTCTTCCTTCCATAAGCATTTCATATTGTTTCGGCTATTGTTTCTGTTTCTGTATCTGGGTCTCCCTCCGCAGAAGGTTCGAAACTTCCCTTAAAGAAAGCCATTGTGTGACGTGAGTTCAGGCACAAAGTCGAATGGATCGCCCTTCACATAACCCTGCGCATGTACTCATATCGTTCAGCGGATTCTCCCCAACCCTCCCCCCAAAGAACCTTTGAACCTCTGCAGAGGAGGGAGTATCTGGGTTGTGGCGGTGATAATCGTACTGTTTTTATTCACTTGTATTCATTTCTTAGTTAGCTTCCTCAAATTTTGTTAGTTTATTAATTCCCGCCTTTGCTTGTTTAACAGGAATTCTTGTTATCTCCGACTCAGGTATGGTGGTCATTATAGAAGAAGAAAAATAACTTTATTTAACGAGGGCAGAAACACTTTACAGTTAGCACTGACAAACTAGTGGCCTTCATTATACTGTACATAAAATCTAATAAATAAAATGACTAATGACTAAATACTTAGTAAAGTTGACTTAAGAAATAGAGAAATGGTCGAGCTCTATGAATGAATCCTTAAGATAATTTACATAATTTTGCTTAAAATGCATTCTTACTTGATCTAATATTGATAGGGAGCTTGTTCCACTCTTTCACTGCCGTGGCTGCAAATGTCTTTCCTCCCTCTGTTTCACGCGAGTATTTCGGGCATCTCAGAGTTACGCTTCCATGCCTGGACTTGCCTCGTAGAAATATCACTAATCCTTGTCTGTGGGTATGTGAATGTACAAAGAAAAAAGAGCAAGCATTTAATAGGAGTAAAGGATAGGAGCGTAAGCAATCCCCGATGAAAGACTAAAGAATCTTTGAAGAACTTTGCAATATTCTTTAAGGTCCCTTTGACGATAACGCTTTGAAGATCCGACAGTAGCAAAAACAACCACTGAATAATTTTTTTGTACCATAAGTTTTAATATTGGCAAGAATTTTTAACGATCCTCAAATATTGTCCGTTTAATCAAGAAAGATGTTTATTACCATTTAATCGCTCGACAGAACTTTGAGTGTTTTCGAGTCATAATTGGTGCTGATTCAGTCTTCCTCCTCCTAGAAAAGACAGCATGGTTAAGATCTGTGGAAGATTCTCTTCAGCATTGGTCTCGAAGAATTGGCTAAGTTAGCCATTTTCTCTAGATCGGTTGTTAAGCGTCAGCTATTGACAGAAATAGACATTAAATTTCAGTTGATTTGCTTTGTGAACACATATAAGCGTAACTGTAATAATATAGTTTGTTTCTCGTAGCTTGGAATCCCAAATTCTCGTCTGAGGTACTACCTTCTGGCTAAAAAGAAACCGCTTCAGTTTCACTTTGCCACACGTGATGAGGTAATTACAATATATGTGTGTTGATGTTTGGTCACGCACTTTCTCGGGAGGTGTCTGTTTATAACAGAATTGTGTTTGTTTATAAGAGAAGTTTGCTTATGACACGTTGCAAAAATACATTCTGTTAGGACCTCGACTGAATGCCTAATTAGGGGAGGTTCCGCTTGCAATTAGTGTCTGTTGGACATACATGTAATTAATTGGACAGAGGTAATTGGACTGACCATAACTAACACTCTTACATGTATAAGAAAAACAAAGGTTCGGTACAGTCAATATAATTAACTCCAGCCCTTAATTTGACAGATCATGGAGAGTTTTCCATACATGATAACACGCGATAAATGTGACAATCAATGCAGCGACTGTGGAAGAGATTGTGTAGCCGAACCAGGATGTACAACCAATGAAGTTAAGCCAACTGGGCTATTACCTGCTTCGGATTGCACTGTGGATAGTACTCACAGAGATCGACATAACACAGGGTGCCTCAAATGCCTTCAAGCTAAAGTCAATGTAGAACTGAAGCCTGTACTTGATAAATATAATCCCACAAACTGTAGAAAAATTGGGGACTACTTAGAGAAAGGTAACAATGACAATTACTTCGAGAAGTACCTACTGCCGGCGAAAGTTTTAAGCAAATTTGTTCTTCTTTTAGGTAAGGATGTCATTGTTTTTTTCTTGGTGAGCTTGTAGTGTAAATTTAAAGATTAGTTATTTAAGCAGTATGTAGTGTTATTTCTCCCCAGGAAGGACTCCCATTTAAAAAGCACGGGGGTGTTCGTCATAGCTTTTAGGGAAAAAAACGCGGTTTTGGTACTCTTAGGGTGTTCAGCCCCTAAAGGTCCACAGTGGGAGCTTCTTCTTTTATGGTATTGAACCGAAACAAGAGACCGAAAAACATGTGTTGCTTTAGAATTGGTACCTCTTAGGGGTGAACAAAATTTCAAGCCACGCCCACAAAACGGGGTCTTGGTACCCCTTAGCGATTTTTTTTCAAAATTTCTAAGGAGCACCCCCGTCCTTTTGTGGGGGTCCCCCGGGCATTTATCACGTGACCAGCAGTCATGCAAATTTATGGGAACAAAAGAAACTGTTTACATAAGAAATGAGTTCAGTTTCCACAGGATTAGTTTGGGACACCAACGTGGTGGCCGTTTCGTTGTTTTAGGACATCAATATGGCTGCCGTGATGTAGAGGGTCTGGGTGGGTTTAACTGTTTAACTGCAAGCTGAGAAGTGACGCATTTTATAAATGATAACTGAAGTCTTAGGTCTGCAGAATTGACTGATAGTTGATAAATGAGCTGCAATTTAAACTGATACATGTAGCTGTTGAATGGACGAAATTAAGTGGCAAATGAGATTCCAGCAACCCTATTCTTGCCCTTGTCTGTGTGTTCTCAAGCTGCAGAGGACATAGAATAGAACAGAATAGGATAGGCTAGGCTAGGCTAGGCTAGGCTAGGCTAGGCTAGGCTAGGCTAGGCTAGAATAGAATAGAATAGAATAGAATAGAATAGAATAGAATAGAATAGAATAGAATGCCAACTCTCAAGACTCTTAGTGCTTTTTTTGCGTTATTTTGTTTGCTGTTGTTGTTGACTTGTTCATGATGCTGTTTTGTGTGTTATTGTTTAAATCGTTTTCCAAGCAACGCATAACACGGTTTTGTTAACCGAGCTTTGAAATAAATATTCTGAAGATATGTTCTATCCTCCTTTTTCTTTTGACATTTATTTAAATTATATTTACTTTTTTTTCCTTAATAGACATTGTCAATCGTCAGTCCGCACGTTCTTGCTGCTTCACCAAAGCGTGAGTATTTCGACAGCTAACGGTAAATACTAGAAATTGCTTGTTCAATTTGCTTCGATTAACCAGTTTAACTCAAGCAATCCGCTTACTTCGTTTGTGTTGTTTGTGTTGTTTTTGTGGTTTTGTTTTGTTTTTGTTTTTAATCACAACAATTACAATTTCCTCAAATGTGATTGGTTCATAAACTGCTCTATTTTGCTGTAATTAATCTGCAAAGTTGTAATCGGACAGTGTAATCGGACAATTGGCTGTAGTCGGACAGTTACATAAGCCAATCATTTTAAGTCCTCTCCGCTAAATCCACCAATCACAACATTGATTACAATCACTATAATAACCAATGCAAGAGACTGACTTTGTAAAACTTTGGAGGTTTAGTCTCCGGTGACTGTTTTGAAAGAAACTTAACAACCATTTTGCAAGCTATTCTCCATATTTTTGATTATGATATTTAGAAAGACTATTAAAAGCTCTTTTTTCAAAATAATGAAACTTTTACTTGTGGGGGAAATTGTTATTATGATTAATTAGAAACAGGACATTGTGTCGTCCAATTCAGTCTGTAATCATACTCGTGATTAACAAATCGGACTCCCGCCTCGCGGTCATCCGATTTTGTTAATCACTCGTGTGATTACAGACCGAATTGGACTCCACTCAGTCCTATTACCGTTATTAATTGTTTCTGTGACTGTCTTATAGGGAGGGTAGTAGTGTTAGTACGGGTCTGTAAGGGGTTGCTGGAAACTCAGTCATCAGTTATTTCAACGTCCATTTCTAGCAAATAGCCAATCACTGCAGCGTAAAATCACTATAGTGAACCAATCAGAATCGAGAAAATGCGCGGGAAAGTAGCGAACACCAATTCACACGTTTCATTTTCGCGGTTAGCTGTGTTACCCGTGTTGTGTGAATAAGTTTTATACTTGTAGGGCTGGACAAACATTGAACATAAATTCTGAATGTTCCCAGTTGAAGGGTAATTGAGGGTAGAGACAACTGCTATTTTTTTTACCTGGATTCGTCTTTTTCTTCTCATCTGAACAGCTATGGACACTATGCTGAAGGCACTGGCTCGGTGCTGAAGATGGCGGATATTGATGTAAGATGCCCTTTAGGTCGATCGTTCTCGAAACCCTATAGTTTTTATTTGTGATTTGATGTTCCCAGTCTTAGTGATATCATTTGCTGTAGAATACTTCCCATTGAATCTCTTTTTTTTCGATTTCTGTATGTGTTTGTTTACCTATTGTTTTGTTCGTTTTTCCTTTGTTTTGTTGTTCGTTTGGCTTTTTTTTTTTGTTCAATTCCCTCTAAGACAGTTTAGGGCAAGTAATTAGAGGGTCTATATGGGGTTGGGAAACTCACTTAACAGTTTAACTTTCGACGATATCTGAGCTACTGGGGTAAAATTTCAGCTTACTTATCAGCTATCGGGAAATTTTACCTATCACCTATTAGTTAAAAAAACTCGCCATTTCTAAGCTAACGGTTAGCATAACTGTCATCCAGACCATGTGAGGAACATGTCAGAATGTAGGCAATATTACTTGCCAAGTAATTTCCCCTTTTTGAGTATCTAATCTTGATTATAACCTGAAAAATGGCTGCCTTTTTCGGGTCAAAATGATCCAGTCTCCAAAACGCGAGTCATTTTCACGAGTTTTTGTAAGCCCATCTCCCTTTCTCGTTTCTTTTGATTACAGTACATGAAGTTCATTTTTTACGCCGTCTTCTTCACAGGACACAGAGATCTTCGAGAGATACAGAGATCTCACGGATGACCAAAGCAAATTGGAGCTGTTGTCTGTGTTGAAGTTAAGATACTTTACTCCGCGCGAGGTGGCCAATCTGCATGGTTTTCCGTCTGACTTTTGTAAGTTTTTTTTTTTCTTAACGATGCATGTGAGTGTTTATCAAAGTTTTTTCTCGCAATGCAACTTTTCATTTGCTGCGTCGACAAGAGATAAAAATCTGATTTCTATTCAACAAATAGATTCCATGTTGCCGTGCGTCTGTTCAGAAAATGATCACAGATGACGTCAAAATGCCACGAGGGGATAACTGAGGGGTTCACTGATGTTCTTAACATATTTTGACGTCTTCTGTGATTTTTTTTTTTAATTTGTAACTTCTGTGATCTCTCACTTAACAAACGCATGGCAACACAGAATCTATCTGTTATATTTCATACGGAATCAAAACAAATGGTCATTACGTCATCCATACGTGTGTTTCCAATTGATCATAATCAAGAACCAATCAAAATGCGAGAATAATTTGACTTTCTGATTTCTTAAATAACAGCTTCGTTTAATTTTTAGGCTCACGAGTGGCTAAGGTTGAGCCACAGATTCTTAATTACGCTTGTTTCAATGGCCGAAACTTCTGGCGTAAGAAGTGCGTTTACTCCTCTGTGCTAGTCTCATTTCTTTTTATTGTTATTCTATCTTTCCAGGCTTTCCCACTTCCGTGTCCGTCAAACAACAGTATCGCCTTCTGGGAAACAGCCTGAATGTTCACGTTGTGTCTGAGTTACTGAACTGTCTCTTCCAGTCTCCCACGTGACACAAAAGACATACTATTTTGAAGTTGGCATTTATGGGCATTCCGTGGCCAAATCCTTCGGCAAATTTGCAGCTACTGTCGCCACAAGTCAACCTTTGCTTATAAAGTCCTTCGTTTATTTAGCTCCCTCGAGCGAATCAGCAACGAAGTCGCAAGCGTGAAGCGGCGAAACCAATAGCCAGGGAAGAATTATTGGAAAGGACTTTTAGAAATTCAAATTTGCAGCCCGCGATTTTAGTTTATCTGTTTCTTTCACGAGCGTTTCCTGACTCCGCTTTTTACACTTGGAATCTTGTCGTCGAAAATAGAACACTGGCGCTGCCATGTCAAGCGATCGACGTAACTTCCTCCTAAAAACAACCAATCGCTAGGAGGGGGTTGGGGTGGACAACTCCTTGGTTCATGCTTACAGCACTGCCATGATTGCTGTAAGCTGAACTGAATATAAACAGAACTTGAATTCTTTTCTGGGGTTCCTCAGTGGGAGAATCCACGATGCTATCAAGGCACAACCGTACAAGACTTAGTTGTAATAATGTTAATTTTTGAAAAGTTACACGGCTGATGAGAAAAGAAAAGCAAGCAAAAAAGAGAATAACGTTTCGGTTGTCAGTCTTGCACGATGTTATGCGAGATGTAACGTGCAACGGAAAAATTAATTTATGCTGTTGTTGAAACTATAAAATACAATACATCAGAACTAAAGTAATCGCTCTTACAGTGGGGTATTAGGTAATCACGTGGGCTATTCGATTTATCTCCTTCCTAGGTCTTCAGAGATCTGGGAACGAGAATATTGAACGCGCTGGATAAATTTGTTCAAATTTAATTTTAAACGGGGTCATCCGGAGGTCTCGCAAGGTCTCACATGAATAGCTTGATACCTGTAAGGGAACAATATAAAACAATTGCAAACAACAAAAAAAATGCCCCTAGCCCCAAACCAATAACAGCTTCTGCACACAATAGCAGCACAGGGAAGCTGCTACACTATTTCAAATCTCCCAGTTCATTCTAAAGTACATTGCCCGTGCGTACCAAGATTGGTAGAATCCCGGGAGGAAAGGGGCACTCTCATATAAAAAAAGACGGGGGTGGGGGAGGGGGGGCTCGTCGGAAGGGGTACCAAGATCCTGTTTTGTGGCCTTGATTTTTTTTTATTTACCCCTAAGAGGTACCAATCCTAAAGCAAGACGTTATCTTCTGTCAGATTTTTTTCGGCTCAATAATGACCTTAAGATCGAGGTTTTTCAGCATTTCCCGCAAACCGTGAACGTCAAGAAGTCACGTGACCAGTGCGTTGGCGTCAGGTTTGCAGTTTGAGGTTCACGTTTGTACGGCTAGACCACGTTCTAGAGATAGGTGATTTACCGCAAGGTTTTTTGCAGCCTAAAACAACAATCCCACGTTTGAGGGAAAATACTGCTTTTAAAAACTATATCGCTTATTAACTATTGAATTCTTTTTCATAGGAACGAAATTTTGATGACGATTTCTCAGCTAAAACAGAAGTGAACGAACGAATGAAAACAAACATGGCAGCCGGTGAATTAACCCGCGAATCTTAAGTCCCAAATGTGGGCAGACGGCTAACGTGAAACCGCTAACCGCAAACCGCGGCTTGCCGTTTGTGGTATGATCGCCAAACCTCGATCTTAAGGTCTCCAATATTACCCTAAAAGTTACCGCAAAAGTTCCCGCTATGGACCTTTTGAGGCTGAACACCCTAACAGGTAACAACGCTTTTTTTACCCTAATAGGTACGACGAGCACCCGAACACCCCCGTCCTTTTATATGGGAGTCCACCCCCGCCCCCCACTCCGTGGGAATAATATTGTACGTCTCATTAGTACATAAGCAACTGTTTTATACACGAGTTCACTCTAATGAAACCAAAACAAGAAGAAAAGCTAAGAAAGATTCCTATAGGTTTCCAAGCACAACACAACAATATTCAGTCAGACTTCTCAAAATAAATTACCCAGTTCTTTATTTAGACGTTAGAAATCCTTGCATTGGTCATAACACACGTCATACTTCTGACCTTACAAACTTGCGCTTTGTTATCTCACCCTTTAGCTCACGTCATATGTACGTTTGCCTGGCCTCGGTCCAATGATTAAATTCNGAATCCTTCACTCTTTCTGTTTCTTATGCTAATCAGGGCAATTTTTAATTAGATCCACTGGGAATTTAAAATGTAAATAATAAAGAAAAAACGAAAGGAACTCTGGTAGGTGTAGTCAAATGACGCTAACGTGCAAATCTGCTATTATAGCGGTTCGACTGTATTTACAGTGGAATGTTAGTTGGAATCTCTGCAATCATTTTTTGTTTCGCATTGGCCCTTGCAGGTACCCAGGCTACCACGAACGTAAATATCCTTACAACGTCACCAAACAGTACTGGCAGGTGATCGCCGCAAGGCTGGCCTTCGTGTTTTTGTTTCAGTACATCGTGTACGGCGTCACGAAGTTTGTGGCATATCTAGTGCCTGACCGGCCTAAGCTCCTTGAGCTGAAAATCAAACGAGAAGAATTTCTGGCCAAGGAGGCTCTTCTACAGAGGGAGGTGGAAGAGATTGATGCAAGTGTAGAAGTAGTGGCTTAGCAAGGTTGGTTTACATATTTCAGCTGTTTATAACTTCTCAATATCTAGGTGAAACCAGGCCTTCCGCCCTGCAAAAGATACACAGTACGCATAACCTTCATTTGATCCTGCCTATTATGCTGTACCAAAGTAGTTCTAACTTTGAAGGTTATCATGGAAGAAACCCCGAGCTGGTGACGATTCAAAGGGTACTTTTTAAAGGGGTCAAATCATGTCCCATATTTTTTCTTGCAAATTTCACAAAAATATTGTTGTTTTCGTCAGCTTTTAGCTTAGCTCTCTTGTAACGAAGAGTAGTGACTGTTCTGTTCTTCTTTACAGCTTCTTCACGCCGACAATTTACTGAATGGAACCGTCCCTCAAAGTTCCTGGAATTTAAACCACTCTAAAACACCTGAAAGAACAGCCCGAATTTTGTTTTGTTTAAAGTTCTTCGATAACATAATAATACAAAAAACAGGATAACTGGTTCGTGTGAAAAATTGTTGTACGCTTTTACGTTTACATCGTTGTACTTACTTCGTTAGGTTGTTACGATTTGTTACTTTAGGTAAACATGCCTTTGAGAATCAAACGGTTATGACATCGGCTCGTAATTTGTTTCACTGGTTAGTAACCTGACTAAACATGTGTCTCTCAGTTTCGTCATTTTAATTCTTTCTGGAAGAGATTCAACCTGAAAAATCCCATGCTGATGACGTTTGATGACGTATGGAAGGTAGAGTTTCTGATTGGTCGTAACTCTGTTTATTGTGGCGCGCTAATAACAACCAATCCAAACACTTCACAGATCCCTTGGGCGCCAAGTCATCAGGATTTTTTTCTGAATGTCAACAAATAAACTCTCCCCAACGTTTGCCTTGCATTTGTTATAACAGCAGTTGTGAGAATTAGATCTAGATTGAATGTAAGAATTATATCCGCTTAGTTATCACTTACTATGTCCTTACCTTATATGAATATAATATTTTTTTGAGTAAACAAATGTTCTTTGTCTTTATTAAAAGACAGTTTTTAGGGAATACATTTATTCCGAAAAAGATGTTAATAAATGCTCAGTAAGATCCTATATTTATCAATTTGGGAGTGAGGTACTTTTTCACTTGAAGGAAAATTGATGTATAGAACGCTTTCACTCACGTGGCACTACGCAGCCACGCAAATTTATGGGAACAAAAGAAAGTGTCTACATAAGAAAAGAGTTTAACTCGCACATGATTGGCTTGGACACCAACATGGCCATTTATTTCATTGTTTTGGGACACTAATATGACCGTCGTGACGTCATGTTTAAACGTTCTATAACGTATAATTCGTTATTTCTCATGAGCCTCTGATCTGTCGCATAATTACTTTTTTTTTCAGCTAGAGCGAGTTATAGCTGTAATTGGGTAAGGAAACATTTACTCGCTCGGTCAGTCAGTCAGTTTGTCAGTCGATGGACATGAAACCTTTTATGGTGGTAATTCCGCTGATCCGAGTTTTTCGCGAGAGGACATCTGCCCGACCATGGTTAAACCAATTGAACTTATCTTCATCTTGCCACTTCGCCTACCTGCTATAAATAAAACATTCATAAATCCATGACCACCGCGATATAAATAGATGGGAGGGGGGGGCTACTTGGGTATGAATTTGGTGGGTATGTGCCGCCCGGGTTTCCAAATTTGGACCCCCTTTTAATAGAATTTGCATTCAAAATGATATCCCGTATTAGAAATAGCTGACTATTGACAGCAGTCCCTTCCATGTATAAGATTTGGAGAAAAATGGCGACCGCGGAAGGTCAAACGAAATGTGCAAACACGCAACACCCACCTAAACAAACGCCATAACTTAAGACAAACCAAACCTAGAAGACTCAAACTCATAAAACAGACCAAAACTCAGAAGGCTCTCATACATCTACATATCGGTTCTAAGGTATTCAATATCAACACAACAGTAAGGCAAAAGAAAATTAAATAAAGGGGAACTAAGAAAACAATACCATGACTACGAACTGAGGATGATATATAGGCAGCCATACCTTGGGGGAACAAACAGGAACAATGAAATAATAAAACACAAAACAAAAGGGCAAGTCTTTCGCTCATTTTCTCTGTCGCTCGTTCTCTTGCATTTTGTTGGTTCGATCGCTCCTTCATTTCATAGTTCGTATATTCGTTCGTTTTCGGGCGTTCATTAAGTTCATCGGCGACTAGGTGGCGATGGTAGACTCGATTACATTCAAAGACCTAAATCGTTGCTGTCCCGTACTGGTGCAGAGTGTAGCTCAGATACCAGTATCTGGTACCAGCGTCTGGCCAACAGTTTTATTTCTTCTTTGGGTCCATCAGTCATCGCCGAAAATGATACACGCATTCAGTCTT